TATTGTAATACTTAAAGATTAAGCTTATTTTAGTATATTTACTGGAAGGAAACCTGGCATTTTTTGAAATTACAAACTTTTCTAAACCCACTGGTCATTATTTGCTGTGTGACCCCAACCACATTGGTTAAAGGGATGAGAGTGTTCAACATGAAAAGGAAAAAAAGAAGATGGTAATCACTTGCAGGAATGTTTTATAAAAAATGAATTAGAGTTGTTAAATTTAGTTCCAAAATATACAAAGTTGAAATTAAAATAAAAACTCAATTTTTTTAACTACAAAAGATAAATTTCTAACCATCAGAAGTATCTAAAAATAGAATAGTCTTTTATCTGATATGATTTTACTGACTGAAAACATTTAAGCAATGGCACTTCTACTTACTACAAATTAAGATCTCAGACAATCTATAGTTGTGTGCTCAATGATTGGTGCAGATAATAAGCGGTCGCTTTCACTGAGGAGGTCAGAATTGAGTAAACAATTTACAAGACTGTGTTTATAGAAACCTTATCATATGCCACCTTTGTTGAAACTCACAATAATCTTTAGAAATAAAAGAAAGTAAAGGTGAAAGAGAAATAGAAACAAAAAGAGAGAGGAGAGAGAAGAGAGAAAGATGAGAGAAACAGAAAGAGATTTAGCAGCTTTCCCAAAGATACATACTTAGAAAGATGAAACTGAGATTTGGACACTGGTGGTCCAACACCTGAGGCCAAATCCTTAACCTCTATTCTATATACTAGGATATACATGTAAGGTATGATGGAAAGGAGACAAAACCAAAGGCGATGAAAAGAAAGGTAATGAAGAGATCAGTACAACAAAAGCAGACCCCTCCTATTGGAAAGAATTGAGAAAAAAATAATTGTAGATTATACTGGAGCCACATTACCAATGTAGAGCAAAATGTCCTAGCACTGCAAATGTCAAAGTTGTTTATTATGCTTAGGAGTTAAGCTGCTGTATTTCGTACAGTGTGAAACATATGGAGATTTTTCAAGAAAAATGTCGTTACTAGTTATTCAACTGGGAGTTAACAAAGACCTACATACTACTGGGAAAACTGTATCTTAAATAAAGCAAGACTGCATACTAGTGAGCTTTAAATGAAAGAAGGAAAAGTCCTGCCAACTCCTCAGGTGTAAGGACAATAAGAAACCAGTATGAACCAAAAGTAAAAGCAAAATGAGAATGCTGACTTCCTGAACACTAAACTGCCCTTGTCCACTGACGCTTTGCTACTTTTAGTTTTGTCAGAATTGATTTCCAACTAGTTTCTCTTTCAAGAAGTAGCAATGCCTTTGGATAATCCTTGGGTTCTACATTAAAAGAGACTGCAAAATTAGACTGTAGATTTAAGTTCTAGTTCTAAGACTTGCTAAGTATGTGACTTTGGACAGGTTGAGGAACCTCTCGTGACCAAGTTCTTATGTTAAGTTCTTATCTCCTAGATGAGGAAGTTCATATAAATCATTTATATGAAGTACTCAGCACACACTGAACATAACAATAATTATTATTTTCTTTTGATTTTCATTTTTCTTAAGCTCTTCGAAATTAATAAATGATAACTGATCCATGGATAAATTTGATATTAAGGGAAAGATATTGACAAAAATAAATTCTAAAACTAAGATTTCAGCCTCAGGAGTTAAACATACTGGTCAAAATACTAGTTTTCTCCAGGGAGTAGTGTCTCTACTTTAATCATACTGTTGAAAGACCAATGAATTTGTCTGACCGTGTCTTTCTCTAAAACCTTAGCATAAATAATTTTACTTTGCTACCTCTCTGTGTAGTAGATATGAAATAGAAGATATTACTTTTACTTTACAATTTAGCATGTTGAAAGATTTATATCCAAGGTTCTAGAAAAGTTAATGAAAGGAAAGACTCAAAATTCAAATCTTCAGAATTTTAGTCCAGTATCTTTCTACCTGTCTGAAACCTTCTGAGTTTTGTCATGTCCGATATGGACAAGACCAATGGAAGATCCAGATAAACTCTGGAATTTTTAAACAATAGGAATAATTTCAGAAAAAATAGATCCATAACTTTCTCCCCAAAAGATAATTTGGGACTGTATGTAATAATTATTGTATTAGTATTATTTTAAAATGTACTACTTCAGAAATATCAGCCCAAAATGGGGAGATAGGATTGCTTCAAATTTAACAGTACAGATTCAGGAATCAGACTGTTTATATTTAAATACTGAACTCTGTTGCTTTAGGAAAATTACTTAATCTGTCTAAATCTTAGTGGTCATCTTCAAAACACAGGACTATCTACCTTATAGAGCTGTTTTGAGGATTTAATTAAGCAGTGAATATAAAGACTCTGACACTGAATAAGTTTTCAATATATATTAACTATTACGATTAAATATTAACCTATTTATTATTGAACATGCGCCTTCCAAAAAAAACAAAACAAAACTGCAGTATTGTTTTAAGACTTTTATTAGTCTTTGTGATCAAGTTTTAAAAATGCAATTTGCAGGGCACCTGGGTGGCCCAGTCAATTGAGCACCAACTCTTGGTTTCGGCTCAGGTTGTGATTTCAGGGCCACAATGAGCTCCATGCTCAGTTCAGAGTTTGCTTGAGATTCTCTCTCCCTCTGTCCTGCCCCTTGTGCTCTCTCTCTCTCTCTCAGTCCCAAATAAATAAATAAATAAATAGATGAAATTTGTTTTTCAAAAAATGAAATCTTACATCAGGGTTCGTGTTTCTTTTATTGTATATTTCTTTCAGTGAAGAGGATAAACCTTTAAGACAAAGAATTAACACTGTCACACAGTTTAGAAAACACATTCAAAAGCTGCCTGTGGTCTTTATTGAGACATTGATGTATGTCAATGGGAGGCCAGTGTTCTCCTGATACTATCTTTTATTTAGATACTCAGTATATTTCTCCAGTAAGTACTTAAAATCAAAACTCAACACAGCAATAGAAAAAGGTTCTGAAGCTTCATAGGTAGGACACTCAAAAGGAAAAACTCCCAGAAAGAATGATTTGTTAAATATGAAGGAGGAAGAAAGCATAGACTTCTCATGGAATTAGGGAAAGATATTAAGATATAATAACAATGAGATCCTTCAATAATTGCTTCAATAGCAATTTTACTTCACTTATTATTAAGTCAAAAACAATACAACTCAACTAACGGAGAGAATTTTATCTCTAATCTCTCAGACAAAACTGTCTTTAATGCATACAGTTAAAATCAAATGCTACGCAAATGTCTTTATGGCTGCATCTTAGAGAAGAAATAATTGGAGCTCAGTTTATCTCAGGAAGAGGTCCAGTAAGAAGCCAATAATCTTTTAGGAGATGTGTCAAAGAGTCTTGCAAGAGACTAATTAGACTAAAATGACCCCCAAGGAATTGGAGATAATGTAGTAACATTTTAACAATTCTATAGGTGATTCCTAAGTGAAAGAAACATGGGGAGTGTTTCCCTAGTTTTATTAATATAGGAACTTCTTGAATGTGAACAGCCATGGGAGAATGAAGAACCCTTAGTTCTTGATGTCGGGAGACACCCAGAAAAAAAAGACTGGGGAGAGGTAAGTCAGAAAGTTACCAATGGCTGTACCATGCTGATAAAAATTTTATGTAATTCATGCACATAATTTAGTAAACCTGCACTCTAAATGGAATCAGCAAATTAATATGCTTGTTCATAATAATGTGTCAAATGGGGTGTAGCATTTTTTCTTAAAAATCTGATAATTGCTTTACTTAAATCATTTAATTTAAACCTCATTTATAACCTAACATTCAGGCTTTGTAAATCACTGACATAAGCGAAAAGAAACTGGAGCCAGGAGACTATTTTCCTACATTAAGTAAGCTTGGCAGCCAAGATTCAAATTTAGCTCTTTCAGAATCAAGGCTCAGACTATTCCAATCTAATCATGTCTCCCCCCCACTGCCCCCCCAAATGTCCTTAAAGTTTGAAAGTAAAATGAGACTGTTACTGACCTAAAGAACTCAGATATGAGTTTGGTTTTTTAATAATATCAAAACATCTGTTAAAGGTTACATAACTCTGTTTTCCATATTTTCAATCTCAGTAAGTGGCACACAGTAAAGCATAAATCTCTATGTCCTGAGTGGCAAAAACAAAACAAAACAAAAACAAAAAATTAATGGAGACCTAGTAAAACTAAGAAAACTAAAGAAGAACTGAGGAAGTTCTGCATACATCTCTCACTAATTTGGGAACTTTGCATACAAACAGGGAAAACCCAAGAGGACACAGAAAAAAGTAAAAGCCTCAGATAGACTTGAAAATTAACTGATCACAGGAACACTCTCTCCAATCCACATAAAAATCTTCTGTCAGGAAAGGAAGCCTTACAATCTCAAGATATTTGAGGGGGAAAAATACTCAGCTATCTGACAACTAATCCATTCAGTCACTGGGGCAACTTCTAACTAACCAGTGTGAAAATAATAACAACAAAAAATGATCAGTGACATTAATACCTACATACCATGTGGGGAAAGATTCAATAAATTTAAGTCACAAAAAAACACATAAAAAATAAAACTTCAGGTAAGAAAAATAAAGAGTCTGAAGTTGTTATGTTATTTTATCTAACATTGTCCAATTTTCAACAACAACAAAAATTACAAGGCATACAAAGACACAGAAAAATTGACCCATAGTCAAGAAAAAAGCAGTCAGTAGAAAATGTCTCTAAGTGGATCAATATGTTGGATTTAGCAGACTTCATAGATGCTTTTATAAATATGTTAAAGGAATTAAAGAAAACTATATTAAGAAGTTAAAGAAAAAATATGATTATAGTGGTTTGTCCAAAGGACTTCCAGTAGAGAAACACAAACTATGTAAAAAAAGAAAATTCTAGAATTTAAGTATGTACTAACCAAAATAATGGAAAGACATTGACTAGATGGATTTAAAAGCAGAACAGATATGCAAAAGCACGAATCAGTTTATTTAAAAGTAGATCAGCAGAGAAGATGGCTGCACTCTTGTTGAGACATGTTGGCTGTCATTGTCTCTGTGCCCATTTTAGTCCCAGGTTCTGTATCAGAAATGCTGTTCCTCTGGGAACTACAGCCACAGAAGGGATGGAGAAGTTCTGGAAAAAGAATACTAGTTTAAACTGTCTTCTGTCTCCGCATATCACTATCTACAGTTGATCTCTTCCCATGGCAATATCCATTTGTCACTGTGGTACTGGTATGGCCTTGAGTACAGGGGTCTCCCTTTCTGGCTTGTTGGCCCTCTTGGCTCTGGGGACCTTTCAATCTCATTTGGAACTTGTAAAGTTCCTGTGTCTGGGGAGATCACTGATCTACACAGCCAAATCTGCACTTGTCTTCCCTCTCATGTATCACACCTGGAATGGGATCAAACACTTGGTGTGGGACCTAGGGAAAGGCCTGAAGATTCCCCAGCTACACCAGTCTGGAGTGGTTGTCTCGGTTCTTACTGGATTGTCCTTTTCAGGGCTGACAGCCACGTTAAGAGCTGAAGTTCCCATCACTGGTCTTCCTATAAATGATTCATTGACCTCTCTTCCTATGTTACTCCCTTCTCCAGCCAGGGCAAAGTTCTCCTGATTTATTCAGAGCCTTTTGAGCTTGCACATCACCTTGGAGCTCAGTAGCAGTAGAGTAGCTAATAGGACCATAGCAGTGGAAAATGATCCCGTTTCCCCCTTGTTTCTAAAGATGGGACGACTCAAAAATTCTCTTTTCCTGCCCCAGCTTGCAGCCTACTCTGGATCTAGGAGCCCTCATTCTCTCTCCATATTCGGCATTGATTTGTGCTGATGGTCAGCTTTTGGCTCCTCATCCTGAGACAGTGAAAACAAATGCCAGCTCTGTGGCCTCTGCCATGGGGACTGGGAGTGGGGCTTTGGGTGCCACTGCCTGTGGGTCACTAGCTTAAAGGACAGTTCTGTTCATTGGTCAGAGCCCAGAGTCTTCGGCACCCACACAATATGACTGAAAGAAGAGGGATGGGGTGGAGGGGAATTAGCCTGTTCCAGCTAGAGGGAGATAAACAGGGTCAGGTGATTTTTGAAGTAGGTGCTTTGGGGAAAACATATAGTTTTCAAGGCAAAAGGAAGATCCAGAAAATTATCATTGAACCTATTAAGGGTTATTTCTTTTCCCTGCGTTTCTGGATAAACAAACCTTTTTTCTAATCCAAATTCATGTGACATCTTTTTCTGAAACTAAATTAAAATACTCATTTTGACTTTAAAAACAAAACAAACAAAAAAAACAGATCAATAGAAATTATCCAATATAAAAGACAGATTGCAAAAAAAAACCCACATTAAATAAAAATGAACAGAGATATGTGGGACAACATCAAACATGCCGATGAATGTGTAATGAATTTCCTAAGGAGAGAGAGGAGAAAAAATACAAAAAAAAACTTTGCAGAATTCATGGTTAAACATTTTCCAAATTTGATTCTATTTAGCTTCATGTAGGAGATATAAAAATATATCAATAGCTAGACCAACAATAACAAACTGCTGGAAGACAAAGAGATTATTAAAGCTGTAAGGGAAAGGTGATTCAGCCACCTATGGAAAAATAGCAAAAATATGACTTACCATTGACTTCTCATCAGAAAAAAGAAAGGACAGGTAGCAATGGAATGACAAAATGCTGAAAGGAAAAAACGTCAATCAAAAACTCTATATCCAGTAAAACTGTCTTACAAAATGAAGGCAACATATATGCTCTGATAAACAAAAAAGGAGAGCATTTGTTGGTAATTCTGATCCATAAGACAAAACTATAGAGATTTTGAATATACAAGCAAAGCTGTGCTATTTTTTATATCTGCCTTACTACAAATTGTACAAAAAAGTGTACAATTAAGGTGTTCATTTATATATAGTTATTATTCATCATCAACAAAATTAAGTACAAAGAGACCATCTACAATTTGATGAAGGGGTTTGTGACAAAAAGGAAATCATCTCTATTATTAAGCTCACAATGATGTTTTATTTTTTTTTTTATAGCAAGACTTTCTCAATGAAGGCAGTGCATTTTTTTTTTTTTTTCCCCATCCTGGTATAGTAACAATTAGCCTATGGTCTGGCAGCTGATCTATTGACCCCACATTGAGTAGCATTGCATACAATTCCATTTATGAAACAAATGTTGTAGTTTTTTAAATGTTAGAATTCCTTATGAGAAAAGCAGTAATATAACAATATTTATTGCTTTTGTATTTATTTACCTATCACTTGAGCAATTATAATCTAATAAAATGGATAAAATCTGCATTTCACTTCTTTAAAATTTTTCAAATTTTTGTTATACTAGTTCCTGAATTGCATCACAAGAGAATAGTTAAATACTTTTAGTCTATTCTTTTACTCAGAAAAATCTATTTGCTTTCTAATCATTCACAGTCTACTTAATTTCTCAAATTATATAAGTTATAATAAAAATATTCTCCTTTTGTGTCTTTTCCTTATTTTCTTTGCAACTCAACCAGATTTTGTGAGGTCTAATGGTTACAAATGAGATCTCTGATTACTGCATTTCCTTTTGAAAAAAACAGATAGTGAAGAACTTAACCTCAGATTAATTTACATTTTGCATGTCTGAAATTAAGATGATTCAACCCAGGTAAGTAAAATTTAAAGTTGAATATTCAGTTAGAAGTTTGCTTTTCATCCATCATCAGTTTATTTTTATAAGTGAGCCCTCAATAAATCATAGGTGTTTTTGGTTCTAATCTTTCACGTGTTTTATCAACAAAGGTATGGAAGTAAATACTCTGAAACCATTCTGGGACCAGCATATGTAGTACCTTCCTATAATTTGACCACAATTTTTTATTGAACCACAGCTATAGTTTCAGCCCTAAACTTCCTCTGGGATTTTGAAGAATAGTGTTTGACCTCTTGCCACAAGAGACTAGCATTAGGCTCTAATTACAGAATTTCATAATGTGGTTATGGTTTTTGAGAAATAAGTATGAGAAACATTAAAACTTCGAGATTCTATAATTGTGTAGGTGTGACCAGGTACTCACATATGAATATATGGTAAGTAGTAAATATGTGTGACACAATTAGAAAATTAAATGGCATATTAAAATGCTAATTAATTATCACAGAAATACTAAAACATTTGGTAAATTCATTAGAGTAGCTTCCAGAAAGAGGTATGAAACATAGAAAGAAATCGCATGAAAACAGAATTAAATGTGGAATGTTGGGTCATTTGTGAGAAAAGAAATCTATCTGGCAGCAATGAATAAGAGCTCATTTACAAGAGTAAAAAAAAAAAGGTTGTTTTCACCTTCTACTAAACAAAGTTTAGCTGTCACAAATCTACCCCATTAATCTGCCCATATCTTACTGAACTTCAATATTTTATTACATTGTTATTATTTCTTCATTGTTGATTTCCACTTAAAAATATATGCCATGGTCTAAAAGAGCAATGTGAAATTTGTTATATCCTAGTTCTCCAAACTGGACCAGTGAGATTCTATTTTCTAGGAGTTCTTAATTTAGGTAAAGAGAAAGTACATTAATTAACTGAGAGAGCTTGCAGTTGATGAAGAATCAAGGACAAAGGCTACCATTTGATGTGGGGAATGGGCAGGGGCCACAAATTAAACCATGGGCAAGAAGGACCAAGAGAGTTTATCTGTAGAAGAAAAACAAAAATGAGACAGACACACAGAAGACTGAAGAGCAGAAATCAGCAGACATTAGAGATCTTGAAACCATAAAGAGAAAGAGACTGAGTTTTCAATTCTCCAAGATCTCCTTGTACCTTTTGACTCTATTTCAATTGATCTGTCTCTTCTCCAAACTGAAATAGAACATATTCAAATTACATTTTGATATTGAACTGCCTCATGACCTCTTATTTGTGAATTTTATTTGAAATTAAAAATTTTTGTAGTTATTTATATAACTTGCATTTTTAGACATTTTTATGTGTCTCAAACTGAAAAAAATGTGTTGTATTTCTTTTAATTTTCTATTGTTTTTACATTTTAGGATTGCAAAGTCATTACTCTGTTTATTTTAATACTGTGAAAACTTCACAGAGACTATGGACCTAGTTTGCTATATAGTGTCAATTTTTACTCCCATGGATAATAAATTGAGGATTTACTGTTGCACCGACCTAAAATACAGTAAAAGTAGACAAAGAATCCCATTATTTACATTTACAAGATACAATGAGTAACATAAAATATACATAGATACAATGTTTAATTTTTAGAGTTCAGATTCTCCTTAAAATATAAAAGCCATCTCCTTAAAACATAAAAGCCATAAAAGCATGGGTGGGATCTTTCAGAAATTCAATTTTAAATTAGTATGTTAAGACTATATGTTTTCAGGACCCTGGGATCATAACCTGAGCTGAAGGCAGACACTTAACTGACTGAGCCAGCCAGGTGCCCCGAGACTATATGTTTATAAAATATTGCAAATTCTACCCCTTGAACAACTGGCTGTTTTGAGAATCAGTTATCAAAGGACCAACTCCTGTTCTAGGCAAAATACAGGGCTTATGAGAAGAAACACTTAGAAGAAATTTTCTTTATCAACACAAAGTTATTTTGAACAGATGTGTTTATATCATAAGAAACTAAGAAAATCAATCTTAAATGGCAAACTCCCATTTTCACCCCTGAGGAGCATAGGGCTAGAATATAAAACATAGGAATTTTGGCAGGAAGAGGTCTTGTTAAAGTATCTTATGTACCTCCTGTGGACATAATCTCCCTATGATACCCCAATCCCCTTATTTTGTTATTGTTTTAAGGCACACTGTAAAGACAACAAAATAGGCATTTACAGGGCTATGGAGTCTCTTCTGTGGCAGCAAAATACATAATCAAGCAGCCACAGGTGTGCACCACATGAAGTGGTAAAATGTGATTTGTAGAGATTTAATGACAAATATGTCTCCATAAGGCTCCATTCCAGGTTGTGCCCCCCAACTGTTCCACAGGTCTTCATCTGGTTGCATCTAAAGGGAATTAAATATCTTCACCTTGAGATCTAAAGAGTAATCTAAAAATTAATTAGTTTGATAAAGGGAGAAAAGGGACTTTTCACATTTATTGTGGTTAAAATATTAATAAACTTTGATACTTGTCAAATTGATTTAAGAATGCTTCCTACTTGCTGTATCTTAATGTAATGCCTGACTACCATTCCAAATTAAAAGGCAGCTTCATTGGTTAAAATCAGTATTAGCAATGTCCCCTCCACTTGAGAGCTTCATGCATTTTTGCTTAATTCTTTATCTTATCCCTTCGATGGAAACAACAATGAAAGTAAAATTCTCTTTCACATACTTAGGAGGTTCTTTCCTATAATATAGCATATATTTCTGCTTTGATCATTCCATTGTGAAATACCGACATTTTTAGATAGACTAAACATTTTGGCTGATTGTGGTAATAAATAGAGAAAAGAAGTATGGGCCAAAACTAAATTTTATATCTAGACAATGAATGTGAAGTAACTAGTAATTACTCAATGACAGTTTTGTCCTTCTGGCTTTAGATTCTGACTACATTTATGGGTTAGGGTTGTTATTTGGTT